TTTTTTTTAAGTTTCTTTTGGTGGTACGGTACTTTTAAGTGGTTTGGCCATGTTCCCATTAGACTTAGACTTGTAGATGGTATTGGCCAGTTTCCTATTAGAAGACATTAGCCATATAATCTGAAATAAGTCATGTTATGCATAGTCTTGTATCTTGTTTAGTTACCAGTTTTATTTTTTTCATTCTATTTATACCTTTGAGTTTTCATCATACATTAATTCTTCACAAATGGTCATTAATTTTTATAACCTACTACTCACCTTTTAATTTTGGAATTTTTATAGACAGACATTTAGTTTCATAAATTTTCATGATGTAATGGTAAATGTGAATAACTTGTTGTAACCCAGGCCTCAACAAATATTTTCAGATCTAGGAGCTAGCACCAAAACTCGGGAGTCAGGTGTGTCTAACCTAACTTTACTGTTGTTTGTACCTGGAAATTGGGTCTACACTATGTCTCGATTATCCACAGTTTTTTTTTTTTTCACATATTTTCTCAAAATAATTGTTCCATTACAATTCTATACAGTAATTTACATGTTTAGGAGAAATTGTCACTTAGAAATTTATTTTGGGTGCAAAAGTTCAGGTGTTGCATGGTATCTATGGTTTTTGCATGCAGGTTCTGGCATGCATTCATACTGTAAGTCAACCAGTTCAAACCTAGTCTTGTGTCTTTTATTTTTAGTTGTTAAGATTGGAATACAAAATAATTGTAGTTTGGTTAACTTAATTTGATCAGTGATAAAACGTATACAAAAACGCACAAAATACATATTAAGATTTCATAAAGATTTCTCTACCTTCAGTTTTCTATGCTGCACGGCGGGTGTCCTTTAACCAGAGATACATGTTTGGGTTGTGTTAGAGTGTTTCCCAGTTAAGCATTGTCCTCTTCCCTACAGATAATTGGTATCTTCAATCTGTTTTAATAATTCACAAGCAGAAACATATGCTAATTATTGACTTATTGTTCACAGGTGTTGATAGTGTGTGAATGCACTTCTGTGTCTGTAGCAGAAAAAATGCCAAAATGTAGGAGCTATTTATGCCTATGTTAGCAATTAAATTAAAACAGGAATGGGCAATCAAAAGAGGAAGTATTATAGGAGAAAAAGTGGAATTGGACTTGTGTAACATGAAATTAGGAGAAATTGAGGGTGACTGACTGACCGATACTTAGATTTTATTATTATGATCGTGACGATTTTTATAATTTTTCATGATAATGTGATTAAACAACATTAAAAATATTATAATTTAAAACAAGGAACTTGTATTGTAAATTTTATTTAGATTAAACAATGGGCTAACTAGTGAGATACACTAGTGCCTCGATTATCTGTTTTTTCTCTTATCTGCGATTTTTTGCTTTTTCCAGACCAGTGTGGATAATTGAGGTATTTAATAGTATAAAACTCAATGTGTATCTGTCTGTCTGCCTGTCTCTTGGGCATGCAATGATGTCATAGCAACGTATTACATAATTTAAGTAGTTTGACTTACTGTCAATTAGAAGCAAGTCTACAACTGATCGAAAATTAAAGATATACTTGGATTAAAATGTAGAAAAATTGCACCTTTTTTGCAATTGGAAAACACATCTTTCTTAAATCGTCGGATTATGCCAGAAAGGACATAAATATACTTTAGTAGACATTTTATACAACATATTAAAAGCTTATCAAAGTTTTTAAAAAGGGCTAACATTAGGTCATAGAATAATATTAGGGGATTATTTATTGATAGTATTAAGTGCAGTAAGGTTGAGCCCTAACTGAACTAGAGCAAAAAATTTATGCAATACAGCGTTAATTTATCTCTTTATTTATTGAATATAGGCTGTACTTAATAAAGGCTTAACTAACATTTGGACCAAGGCGAGTGGACTTGCAGATTTTAGTGTATGTGACTAGAATTCTTTGTATTACTCTAGAAATCCTGTATTTAAAGAAGTACTGTTGCAATAAAGATACTAATTTGGCTGCAAATGTATTGCAGGTCTCTGCTAGATTTAAATAAATGTTGCAATTAGAAACTGCATTTAAACCACTTATATCAACTTTTAAATGCTTTTGGCAAGGATTGGGAACATGGAGGATCATGCACAAGTGGTAA